GTAAATTTTGCTCCAAAATTTTTTTTTATTATGTACCCTATTTTGTTTTTAAATGTACCCTAAAAGGTAACAGGTCCCCCTCATCACTTTTTGTAAATTTTTATTTTTAATCATAAGGATTTTTTATTCTTTATTTTAAAATTATATTAAAATATAAAACACATCATAATATAGACATTTTATTTATTTTTTCAATTATTTTTATTATATATTTAAAATATATTTCTTTTTTATTCAATATTTATGGAGATATTCAATAAAAATAAATAATGTTTTTTGATACTTTAATGCTCAAAATATATGGCATATTTTCCTTTAAAACCCGATGGTAAATATGTTATTAAATTGTTGAACAACACAAACTGTAGACCATAAAGTAGTTCTATGTGTTATTTATTCATTGTAGTACTTTTGTCACCTTTATATACATTTTTAAATAGAATGCATACAATCTTTATACAGTAAGAGCAGCCTAAACAAGGTCTATCAAAGACATGCAATATCTTAGTTAATTAGTTAATACAATATACAAATAGTTAACTTATTTGAACTCTTTTTTTATAGCAACATCCTGAGCAGTACCAGTCAAATACATTCTGTTCATTGATGAATGAGCAGAAGCTCATCTGTGATGTATATTCTTAGCGTCCATATCCTGTTGGGTCATTTGCATTTTTGGATTCTTCTTTTCCGTTGCTCTGACCCATTCGGTATAACTTGCTCGCCAGGTTGTGTACCTGACATGTCCCAAGCTGACAACCTCTTTGAGCTGCTCGCCTTCTGCAGAGAGACAAGACAAATGTGAACCCATGTGTGTAATTGATAATTGATATGAACTTAAATCCCAAGAAAACAACACAAAAATATATGTTTTTTTATTTATATATGTACAATACCGTTCAAAAGTTTTGGGGTTTGAAATAACACAATGCTTTTATTCAGCAAGAATGCATTAAATTTATAAATAGTGACAGAAAAGACATTTACAAAGACATTTACAAAATATTTCTACTTCAAATAATACATGCTGTTCTTTTAAACCTTCAGTTCATCAGAAACTTATTGCGGTTTCCACAAAAATATTTAGCAACTGTTTTCAACATTGATATTAAAAAGAAATGTTTCTTTAGCAGTAAATCAGCATATCAGAATGATTTCTGAAGGATCATGTGACACTGAAGACTGGAGAAATGATACTGAAAATTCAGCTTTGATCACAGGAATAACTTACGTTTTAAAATTTATTCACAGAGAAAACTGTTATTTTAAATTGTAATAATATTTCACAATATTGCTGTTTTTACTGAATTTTTCTGATGAAATAAATGCAGTCTTGGACGAGCTGAAAAATATCATACTGATCCTGAACGTTTGAACGGTAGTTTAGCTCTCACTTACTCTCTGGCTTTTTGAAGGATGGTTTGTAGAAGCAGAGAAGAGGTTGCATTTAGATGCGTTTTTCTGGTGGTTTTGGTCACAACTGATGGAGTCTCTCTGTCTCTGTCAGTGTCAATCAAGGTCATGTCTCTTGACCTCTGTATGCTCTTCATTAGTGAGAGGCTTTCTGTCTGTGTCCTGTTCAAAAAACACATGTGACAGTGAATATATAATGTGTGTGTGTGTGTGTGTGTGTGTGTGTGTGTGTGTGTGTGTGTGTGTGTGTG